GTCTTATTATTTTATGCATTGTCAATAATTGTACAAATTGCAGAATGAAAATATCATGTTATGTCATTATTTTCACAAAGTATCAAGACTTGCATGTGGATTTGCTTTTTTTGTATAAACAAGCATTACATTTTAATGATGCTGATATTTCTATGTGTCTTTGTTTTCAAGTATTATGAGTTGACATGACTAGTATAAATCACTGATGATCTCTTAATATCTGCTATAGACTGTGAATATCACTTTTGTGAAAGTTATTCTCAGAAACATTGTGGTAAACCAGTACTCACTACATGTGCATTCATTCTGTGTTGAATGATAATTGAAGTTATTGAGAGTGAAGAAAGAAACTGAAATACAGTGTAAATTTCAATAAAAGTGGAATTCTTAAGTTCAGTTTCGACATTTTTTACAGATTTTACTTAGTGGAATGGAGCAGCTTCGACCAACCATAAAGTGCTATTTTAAACTTTAATATTAAGCTAATTTGGGTTTGTTTTGAAAAACATATGTTCACTTCTTTCCTAGATTCACTTGTACCAAAAAATATGCAACAATATAGTGTGAAAACTGGACAAGGTGTGAATTTTTCATTTATTTAAAATATTTTTGTCCTTTAGGCCCACAAGTTCCAAAATACTGTTATAATGATACACAGTGCAAGGAAATCGTGCCAGGTTCATTTTGTAGAAATATATCCTGTGGATGTGTGTATGATCAAGACCAAGAGGAAAGCTGCCTATTCCATGATGAATCTGGAGAAAGTCATGATCATGTGTGTATTGGTATGTATACTAGTACTGACGGTTAAGTTTGGCCATGTGAAAGTACATGTATGCCTAATGAGTGTGTAACAAGCATTAATTTGGAATGACTTAAATTTTTTTCAAGATGAATAATTTACTTTTGAGTGTGATTGAATATTTACGACAATAAACTTAATGAACCAAGAAAAACAAACTAAATTGTTCATTTGTTAGGCACAAAATTTATTATTGTTTTTATAATTTTGTCATGCTTCAAAACCCTTAGTTTGAATAGGCAACATGCAAAGAGAAAAAAGGCATGAGAAAAAACGTTGCTTAACAAACCTTAAGGCTTAATAAAAAAAAGAGTTAATATAATATACTGGAAATTTCTACCCAGATTTAAAAAGGTGGTGATATTAAAAAGATAAAAGCTTAAGAAATGTTCTAACCAAGAAACAATGTTGTGTTAACAGTTGTAACATTGTTATGTAAAATTGGAGATGATCATCTTTATTTGTTGTAAGTTACACTATTTGGCCAGGCTCGTCATTTATTCATATTTGAAACATTTTTATTTTTGAGGAAATCTTCATCCATCAAATGAATTTTTCAGTGCACAACTTTCTTTATGTGGGCCACGTTTTCTGAAGCCTTGGGATGGTTTATTATTGCTACTTTAGAATTCTTAATTCATTAGGAGATAGAAGATTTCGTAAGACAACTATGGTTTTTATGTTTTTTTAGTATTCTAAGAAGTTGGCTACATGTACTATATCTATATTGTGGTCAGTTCTTTTCTTCAGTACCTTTTACATAAACATTTATCTGTATTATATTTTACTACATTCAGTTTCCTAAAGCTATAAGTCTTGTGCAGTACCCTTATTGTATGTTTATTCCATGTATGAACATTATATCAATACTTTGTTTACACTGGTTTTTCAGTAACTGCTTCGTGGACAAGTGTCTATGTAAATGTAGTTGGAAATGGTTTTCCATGGACTAAGTTAATGTTCCTGTTTATTGGACTGTTTTTGATTTCCTTGATATTCATGGGAATTCGATGGTTTCTGCCCATGTAAGTAAAACTGATTATTTGTCAGAATTATTAAAAACTATATTTGAATAGACATGGTCAAATATTATGTCAGTGGTTCCCAACCTGTGAGGTACAGTATTGTTCAAAGGGGGATTGTGGAATATCTTATCAAAGCCTTGAAATAAACTGGTCACTTGGGACAACTAAAAATTTAAGGCAGCCTGTAACAGGGGTGAAAAAATTGATAGACTTTTGGCCTATATATTTTTTCATGTTTGCATTTGCTGGAAGGAAAAAGGGTGAGTAACAAAAACAAGCTAACATAAGTTTAACATTCTCATTGAAATTGGTGAGTTGACATTAACTTTGAAGATGGTTACTTTTTATTTTTATGGATAACCCACTATTATGGGAGTTGTGAGAAATTGGAAGAGGGACACATGGAAGAAATTGTTCTAATTAAGGGGTGCTTAGAATAGAACAGGTTGGGAACTTCTGTATTAAGCCTTAAAAGATTTCTATATGCATTTGATTAAAAAAGGAAAGAAAAAATATATATACATGTACATATGCATACATATTTGGTATAAGAGAGAAAAACTTGTTTTCACTGTCATGGTTTGTTCTTGTTGGTTGAGATGTGCCAATTAACTGATCACAATGACAATTACTAGATGAAAATCAACATCAATTATTATAGAAATAAGAAAGTAGTCTTTTTTAAATTTTTATTCGCATGCTTAAAAAGTTAACCAATAAAATGAATTTCAACAGTAGTAGGAGGTTCATACTACTTGCAGATCATTTAAATAAAAATATTATTTTCTATATAATTATTCACTTTTGTAATGGGGAAGCTACTTACAATATTCCTTCAATAATATCATTGTCATATATTGATTGGATGAGAAATTTGTCTGTTGACTACTGAGGGAGATCAAATAAAATTATGTGCATTTGTGAATTATTTCATTTTAAGTATTCAAGATCTTGTGAAACTTTAACAATAAAAGTGGGATATAAAAGCATAAGGGAAGAAATGAGTTTAAGTGGGAATTTCTACTTCCTTATGTAGGTGGGAAACCTCTAGAATGCTTACTATATCTTTTCTCATATTCCACTATTGTAGTATTGTTCCATTTTTGTTGTATGGTCTTCTTCTCTTAACACTTCATGAACTGCCAGAACAGACAACATCCAGTGTTACAATTTACAACAGAAATAGAAGAAGAAAAACTCATTCTCAGATGTGGTGGGTCTCTTTGGTAGGTCAGTGGTAAGCCTCAATGCTTATAACCCTGAAGTTTGGGGTTCAATCCCAATAACAGACACAATGCAGATAGTTTATTGTGTGGAACTATATTTAAATGTTATGGCTTTATCAAAGAAGAAAGAAATCCCAAGAGTAAGTATGTGGATCAGTTTATTTATATGATACATCCACTCACAGAAAGAAAAGATCTGAGATAGAAAGATCCACTTTCATCATTATCCAAAGAACATTAATAACCAAGAAACAAACTAGAAGATCAAAATGGGATTTATAAAGTTGCTTACTCACTTAAGTGGGTCAGAGATATAAATGATAAATAATGTATGTAGGAAAATACTGGAGGCTTTTCAAATGTAATGTGTAAGAAATTAAGGAATGATGCAGTGATGGGAAAAGCAAGGATGCAAAGAGAAATGACTGATATCATAAAATGAGAAAGCTAAGATAGTTTGGATAGATCTTAAGAAACAAAAATCTGCAGAAAGACTTATTCTATAGTAAAGTGGTTGGCAAGAGAAACAGAGTCAGGCAAAATGGAGTAAAGATGGACAGTCTCAAAGAATGGACTTAGGTGAGGCTGGAACAGTGAAGAAGTACTGCAAGGGGAAGAAACAGTTAAGGTAAATAATGCTTGGAGATGGCTTGAATGGGTAATGAAGAAAAACTTTATAAGTTTAACATAACAGCAAATGCACAACGTTTCAACAATGATGACAAAACCTTGTTGAAACGTTGTACATTTCCTGTTATGTTAAACTTATATTAAAGTTTTTCTTCATTACCCATTTAAGCCATCTCCAAGGATTATTAGTCTCAAAGTGGGTTCCTTGTCATCAAAGTTAAGGAAAATGTTTGCCAACTTCTATGAGAAGAATGTAGTGGCTCACTGACACATGCATTTAATATATTTAGTTTGTTTTTGATTATTACATTTATATCACTTCAGAGTTCACAAACAAAATATTCCTTGGGATAGTAACTGAACTGTTAAGGATTGGTTTGTATATAACAGGACTTATGGTTTACTATAGATACATAAATGTACTTAAATTATTGTTGTTCACTTGTGTGGTAGCTTCAAGCAAAAGAAACTGATTGGCTAATTTAGCTTTGTTAAGTCAGTTACTGAATTATGAAGTATTTCTGTATGTTTCAAATTGTTTTAAATATTTTTTATTTACATTGGTAAATGATTTACTTATCTGGTTCATGTAATAATGTAATTTACTTAGTACAAAAATAAATTTGTTAGTTAGTATGAAAATGAATGGTTTATTTGTCACTGCAGGTTTGGGTTTTGTGAAGGAAAGACAAAACTAAAGCATAATTCTTCCCATCACAGTGGAATAAATTTAGTTGGTACAGAGTTGGAAATGTCTTCTTATGATGATAACCATGCAGATTATGCTTCATGTTTGAAGGTAAGACAGTATGTAGTAGTGTTCGAATTTACTTGGGATATATTGCAAAAGCTACTGGAAATGTTATTATCACTGTTATTGAGCATTTATTATATTTGACGTAAGTTAATATTAACTACATTCATGAATAGTGCCATATCCGTACTAAACAAAATTATTAAATTTTCTTTAATACAACATACACAGGGGGAAGGGTGCACAAACGTTTTGTATATCTCGGAAAGTGTACTAGTACTGTCTATGAAGGAATGCAGTGAAAAAAGGCCACCACTATTTCAATAATACCTGAACTTAGATAAAGTTTCTACTCCAACTGCCGTCATAAAGCTGATATGAAGAGCTGTTTCTTGAGTTATACCCACTTCCTACTTTGACCCATGACCTTCAACTTTGGCCAGTAAGACACTTCTGTGGCCAATGACCATCAATTAAGTAATAATTAAGTAGACACTATTGAAAGACATTAAGAGCTGGGTGTTGAAATTTTTAATGAAAGTGAATTGTGTACACACAACTTTTTTTTTTTTAAATAATCATATAGAGGTAAATTAACAAAACTGACAGGCAGATGTCAGCCATTGAATACGAGACATGTTTGATACAAATGAGCTGTTTATTAATATTTTTTAAGTATTCAATATAGTCTCTTTATTTGTGTTAAAGACTAAAATTAGATTTACTCATTTCAGTTGAATGTATATATATAAAACGTTGGATGACTAAAATTGAAATTTTGTATAAGTAACCAAGTTGTGTTCCGAGCACTATACATATAATGCTGGCGAAACTAATGTTAACTCTTTCGGCACAGGCTCAGTCGCTGTGACCATCCTTGTAACCATTTTGTACTTGTTATAGTTTTCATGCTATAACTTTTAAATTAGTAAGCAAATGTTAACGAAATTTGCCAGATTATCAGTAAACATTACAATGCTATCATACGAAAAATATAATTTTTTTTTATCAAGTCTTAAGGTTTATAAAGCAATATTTTTCTCGTGTATTTTTTTTTCTTTTCACATCTTGCCTATCTATCATGCAAAGTAATATTCATTTTAAGATTAAAAATACTTTTATGCATCAGAAAATTTTGAAATTTCACATGTGAAATCTTTATTATGTCCAGATAGTTATCAAACATTTCTTAATAAAAACTTTATATTTTGTTATTTTCAGTAATTAATCTCTGTACATGTTTGGTAGGTTTAACTGATCTCACAACCACCATAAAAAAATTATGAAATAAATATAAATTATGCTTCTTTCATTCTAGAATGATCATACATTATAACACGAAAACATAACTATTTAGACTAAATAGCTTAAATCTCATAACATTATATATTTATTATTTTTATTATATTGACCTTTCAGCTGTGCCTGGCTAGCAATACAGAAGTTACAATGACATAGCTCACATGCGCTCATGTTACTATATCAGATAACATAAAACGAACCCGTGCAAAGTAACTTGTTTTGCCTGTGTTTTAGTAGAGTAGTATTTTGTAAAATACAGTCAAATTTCAATTATTATACATTATATATGTGTATAGATTATTGCTATTTTGAAATAAGTTCCTGAACTTATTTTTCTTA